TGTGGCATGGTTATTGTCCTGTCCAACATTTAGAACTTTGCATTTGTCTATATTAAACTGCATCTGCCACCTCTCCGACCACTGCATCAGTCTATTCAAATATTCCTGGAGTGCTCTAATGTCCTCGTCAGAATGAATTCGACGGTCTATTTTGGTGTCATCGGCAAACTTGCTGATGTCGCTCTTTATGCCCTCATCTATGTCGTTTATGTATATTGTGAACAGCAGGGGGCCCAACACTGACCCCTGTGGAACACCGCTCGTGACGCTTCCCCACTTTGATTTCTCCCCATTTATGCAAACTCTCTGCTGCCTATTTGTCAACCATGCCTCTATCCAGGAAAAAAATTCTCCTCCTATTCCATGTGCCTTAATTTTCCTCAATAGTCTCTGATGTGGGACCTTGTCAAAAGCCTTACTGAAGTCCATATACACATTATCATATTCATTACCATGATCAACCTCCTCAAATACCTTAGTGAAAAAAGTTAATAAATTGTAAAGGCAGGAACGCCCTTGTAAAACCATGCTGAGATTCGTTGATTAATTTATGCTTTTCAAGGTGGCTACGAACTGCCTCGGCAATTATTGATTCCATAAATTTTCCCACTATGGAGGTTAGGCTTATTGGTCTATAGTTCGAAGCTAAGGACCTGTCACCTGCTTTGAAAATAGGTATCACGTTTGCCATTTTCCACTTATCTGGCACCATGCCAGTTTGTAGTGATATGTTGAAAAGATTAGCCAAAGGTTTGCTAAGCTCCTCTTTACATTCCTTTAGAACCCTTGCATACAGTTCATCAGGGCCTGGGGATTTGTTAGGTTTTAATTTATCTATTTGCCTAAGGACCATGTCCACTTGTGACTCTAATCGTGCACAGTTTATTATCGTCCTGTTCCGCATAATTTATCATTTCTGGAATATCGCTGGTATCCTCCTGTGTAAAAACTGAGAGGAAGTATGTGTTAAAACTTCTACACATTTCCTTATCACTGTCAGTGAGCTGACCCGAGGAACTTTTGAGTGGGCCTATCTTGTCCCTGATCTTACTTCTGTATACCTGAAAGAATCCTTTTGGGTTAGTCTTCGAATCTCTTGCAACTTTAACCTCATAATCTCTTTTTGCTTTTCTAATTCCTTTTTTTATTTCTCTCTTTAACTGAATATATCGATTTCTTAATTGCCCCTCCCCTCTTTTGATTTGCCTATATATGCCTCTCTTTTGACCAATTAGATATTTTAATCTATTGTTCATCCATTTAGGATCATTTTTGTTTGATCTGATTTCCCTATTTGGAACATAATTTGACTGAGCAGCTAGAACTATGCCCTGGAAAGCGTCATATCGGCAACCATCACCACCTACCTGACCCTTAGTCAGGTCATTCCAGTTCAGCCCACCTAAGTAATTTTTCAGTCCTATGAAATCAACCAAGCGGAAGTCAGGGACAGAGACTTGATTGCCATTATTAGGGGAATTCCATGATATATTAAAACTGAGTGATTTGTGATCACTTTCCCAAGCTCATCATTAACCTCAAGATTATTAATTAGTGTTTCCCTACTGGCAAGAACCAAGTCAAGGAGGTTATTTCCCCTAGTTGGCTCTGTCACAAACTGTTTTAAAAACAATCCTGGATCGTATCAAGAAAGTCACCTGACTCTAAATTTCCTGTCAAATTGCTCCAGTCAATCTGTCTATAGTTGAAATCTCCCATTAGCACAACATTTTCGTATGAAGATGCCTTTCGAATTTCGTCCCACAGAAGTTTACTGCACTCCCTATCAAGATTTGGGGCCCTGTAAATCACACCCAAAATTAGTTTTTCTCGGCCCTCGAGAAGCTGTAACCAAACAGATTCAGTGGCTGACGCTTCTAATTTAATATCTTGTCTAACACAACAATTTAAATTGTCTCTGACATACATCGCTACTCCACCACCTTTCCTGTTGACCCTGTCAGTGTGGAATAATTTATAGCCTTGTATGTGATATTCAGAGGGCATCTCTCTATCTTTCAGATTGAGCCAGGTCTCTGTTATAGCAATAATATCTGTTTCCTGCACTTGCAATTAATCTTAGCTCATCTATCTTATTTCTTACACTCCTGCTATTAGTATAGTAAACCTTAAGGGAGCTAGTCCCTTGCTGCCCTCTGCTGTCCCCCTTTGTTTGCTGACCTGATCTATTGTTTTTATTCATAACTTCATGCTGAATGCCTTTTATACATTTACTGTTTCCAACCCTAGTGTTGCAACCTGCTTGTTTCCCACACACACCCATACCTCTATCTTCCATCAGTTTAAAATCATAGGCATTTCACCAATGGCCTTCTCAATCGAGTCTGCAAGTGCTACCACCCCAGCCCCAGAGAGATGTACCCCATCCCTTGCATACATATCATGTTTGCCATAAAAGCTGTTCCAGTTGTCAATGAATGGGATTGCAAGTTCCTTACAGTATCTGTCTAGCCAGCAATTTAAACCAATTGCCCTAGACAACCATTCATTTCCTACTCCCCTTCTAGGCAAGATGCTACATATGATTGGGATCCCTCCCTTAGACTTAATGAAATCTATAGCTGACCTGTACTTATCTAGCAGCTCTTCTCTCCTACCCTTCCCAATATCATTTCCACAAGCACTGAGACAGATAATGGGCTTGTTCCCATTACCTGACATGATATTATCCAGCCTGTTGACAATGTCCCCAACACCAGCTCCAGGGAAGCACACTCTATCTCTCATCTTCTTATTCCTATTACAAAAAGCACGGTCAATATATCTTACCTGAGAGCCACCAACCACAAGAATGCGCTTACCTCCATTAGCAGGGGCAGTAGTACCCTTAACTTCACTGGCCACTGAAGTACATTCATCCTGGAGAACAGAGAAGCGATTTCCTACCTTCAGATCTTCACTCTTAACTTTCCTTACTCTGATGCGCCTCCCATTACTGTGAACCACTCGCCACTTGTAGCAGGTGCTGGGCTGCACCTCACTGCTGGTAGCCGTTGCTACCTCCTCAACTACAGCCTCCTCACAGCGAGAGACAGACTGCACCTCACTGCTAGAAGCCTCATTCCCCACAACTCCAGCCACCTCACACTCTCTCCCAGACCCATTGAGGTGGACCTTCAGCCTCCTAATCTCCTCCTGGAGAAGCAAGACCTCCTCCTTCAACTCTCCAACCTCAATTTTTAAAACACTGCAGAAGCAAGCCATGCTTTGTAACCGTCCACGCTAATCCCCAAAGCAGCTCAGGGTCTGTGACCTCACGTGACGACTGACCACTGACCACATTTGTCTCAGGTCACGTCACCTGTGCCACACTTGTCTCTGATCACGTCACCTGTGCCACACTTGTCTCTGGTCACGTCACCTGCGCCACACTTGTCTCTGGTCATGTTACCTGTGCCACACTTGTCTCTGGTCACGTTACCTGTGCCACACTTGTCTCTGGTCACGTTACCTGTGCCCCACTTGTCTCTGGCCACGTTGCCTGTGCCACACTTGTCTCTGGTCACGTCACCTGTGACACACTTGTCTCTGATCACGTTTCCTGTGCCACACTTGTCTCTGGTCACGTTACCTGTGCCACACTTGTCTGTGGTCACGTCACCTGTGCTACACTTGTCTCTGGTCATGTTACCTGTGCCACACTTGTCTCTGGTCACGTCATCTGTGCCACACTTGTCTCTGGTCACGTTACCTGTGCCACACTTGCCTCTGGTCATGTTACGTGCGCCTCACCTGTCTGTGGTCACGTCATCTGTGCCACACCTGTCTTTCGTCACGTTACCTGTGCCACACTTGTCTCTGGTTACTTTACGTGCGCCTCACCTGTCTCTCGTCAAGTCATCTGTGCCACACTTGTCTCTGGTCACGTCATTTCTGCCACACTTGTCTTTGGTCACTTTACGTGCACCTCACCTGTCTCTGGTCACGTCACCTGTGCCTCACCTGTCTCTGGTCACGTCATCTGTGCCACACCTGTCTCTGGTCACGTCACCTGTGCCACATCTGTCTCTGGTCAGGAGACCAGTGCCACGCCTATCTCTGGTCAGGAGACCAGCGCCACCTATCTCTGGTAAGGAGGCCAGTACCACGCCTATCTCTGGTCAGGAGACCAGCGCCACACTTATCTCTGGTCAGGAGACCAGTGCCACGCCTATCTCTGGTCAGGAGACCAGCGCCACACCTATCTCTGGTAAGGAGACCAGTGCCACACCTATCTCTGGCCAGGAGACCAGTGCAACACCTTCAGCTGGTCATGTGACCGGCTGTTACGCCCCTGAAGTGTGGTTAACTTTTGTTCTCTCATCCATTGTTTCATCTTAGTTTTATTTGTTGTGTGTGTACTCACCTATTTGTGGTTGTAGGGGTCGAGTCATAGCTCGTGTGTGTGTGTGTGTGTGTGTGTGTGTGTGTGTGTGTGTGTGTGTGTGTGTGTGTGCCTAACTTATATATGCGTTGGTATTAAATAAATTATGCTATTCAAGTGAGAAACAACTTGGACAGAAAGATCAACAAAACAGAAGGGATCAGTTAATTTAAATCTCTGTTAGTGACCCTCTTCAAAAGATCAGAACGAGGACGATATCTTTTAGCAGTGGTTATTTTTCTGTCCCAGTGGTTCCTCACTTTTCATCAGCCGGTGTTAATCTCACTTTCTTATTTTCTTGTTGAAGATGACACATATTCAACATTTGGAAATTCTTTTTCTGAAACGTTTCGCCTGCTCAGTAGGCTTTTTCAGTCGAATAAAACACTGGAGACAGTATTGGAAATATAGATTCCTCAGTGCTGCACATGTCTTTTATTTACCAACTTGTCTGTGTTTGTATTCTTATTCCATTAATGTGTATTCTTTGTGATGGTGTTAATTGCTGAGGGTCTTAATTGTCATTGTCTTGAGAAGAGAAGGAACTGTCGACGACCCTGATGAGGCAACAAAGAAGAGATATATAAGGTGGTAAGACGTAGGAGTCATTACACTTCCTGGCTGATCACGGTAGGTCTTGTGTCTAGTGGAGTGGTCGTATTCTATCAACAGGAGTAACAGTTATTTGCTGGAGAGTAAAATATCATTTGCCTGTTGAGACTAACTGTTGTTGTGGGTGTAACAGGCAGCTCCTCACAGGCTGAAAACTTTTTTCAGAGTATGAGCGTATTATTCGACAGAGTTTTGATTTTTTCTAAGTAACTTTGGTTAGAAGAACGTTCATAGAGTATTGAACTTAGGTAATTATGACGATGATACAGAAATAAATATTCAAAGAGTGATGATCTATGGTACTGTACTCCATGAGGTAACAGACCAATCTGGGATATACATGGCAATGATGAATGGAGACTCTACTCCACCTAAATACTTCCCAGTCAGATGTTTACCTACTCTTAGATTCACTGTCGCGCATCAAAATAATGTATAGGTAAGAATGCAATTTTCATATGTAGAATGAGGTGGAAAAAAGTCTGGAACCACGAAATATTGGTAGCGGACGACTCAATCAGCTCTTCTCTATCAAATGGTCATAAACTGTTCCTGAACGTTGTCGTTCCTATTTACATTTAAAACTGTATAATAAATTTACCTCGACGAATCTCTCATTCATCTATTTTTATCTACCAACAATCATATGTTGCAGATGAAGGCAGTGTTGATTCTCACCGTGGTTGCTGCAGCGGCAGCCCAGCACTACGGCAACTACGGTCGTCTTGGTCACGGTGTTGGTGGATACAGCGCTGTTCGATTTGGCGGAGGAGTCAAAGGTAGTGGCTTCAAAGGAGGTGCCACACCCGGTGTCGTTCAGGGAAGCAGTGGAGGTGGCTACGGTGTGGTGAGTTAACAAAACAAATTTATTGAGCTCTGCTAATCAGATGATAAAAGGATTTAGCTAACTAACCGAATTCAACAGAAAATTGTAGTCAGTAAATTTGAGCTTTTCAGAAGATATGACAAGATTAAAATATATAACTCTTATTAGACATAAAAAACCTTATTATAATAATTATTTTTATAATTATTGTTATAATTATAATTATTATTAAATTAGCTAGTCCCGTAAGGGTCACACACAGCTCTGAAAAGAAAAAATCCTTAGAAAACCATAGTAACGTTAATTGGAGGACTATGACAAGTACTGACAGTACTTGACAGTATATTAAAATTATTTGGTTTTCATAGGATGTCTGTGAATAAAAACAAAAGTCATAATGGTGTGGCTGAAACAATTCACAAAAAGTGGTTGTTTTGATAATGTCTTCAACCATTACCAAGACAACAATGGTCTTGTAAGGACGACGTCCTCGTCTAGTTTTTATCTACAGTTGGTGGAGTAGTCATGTGAAATATATAAAAGAGACTTTTCCAGGTGGATCTGAGCCTGGAGTATAGCGACTACCACTTCTCGTGGCGTCACGACGGAGGCAAGAAGTACGACTGGCATACTGCTAACTATTACTGCTCCAGTCTGGGCAAGGGATGGCAGGGCGTCAGCATCGAGACTCCAGCAGAGGACAAAATCATCTCCGACATCATCTACAAAAGTCAGTAAAACAATGATTCCGTGACCTGACTATACTCTTTTTTTCATTTATCGTGAGAACTGATACTGATTTTTCACTTTTTCTTAAATGATTTTCCCTTAACTGAGAGAATAATCATCAACCTGTCTCTCACAGACAAGTTGGAGTATATTTGGACTGGTGGTTACCGTCAGGGTTATGAGTTCGCCTGGCCCTCTGGCTATCCCTTCTACGGTATCAATTGGTCTCGGACTGGAGGGTGAGTCTGACCCAAGGGTGTTCCTACACTAAGATCTGTTATCATGCTTGCCTAAAATATACTTTATAATATATTGCCTTAATATATACATGAGTAAGTCCTTATCTATTATTTAGATGCTAACAAAATCACAGTCGTTTGTGTATTTTTTTTAAGTCAATGAACAATCAACGACTTTCTACCCATACATCAAATGTATTGTATTTCCACAGTGCGGGGCGTCCCCAGCCGGACAACCGTGAGGATGGGAAGGAGTTCTGTCTGGCAGTACTGAACAACTTCTACAAGGACGGCATCACTTGGCACGACGTGGCTTGCCACCACGAGAAACCCATCATCTGCGAGCGTCGGCGAGGTGCTCACTATGGCTGAAGAGCCACTCTCCTGTATGAGCGCCGCCACTCGAGCTATCACAGTTGAGCAGCGCCAGGAGGTGTTAGAGGTTGACAAGAGCAACTCACTAACATCGATTCATTTGTTTATATATTTAATATGTGTAGCGGTAAATCCCTGTGGATTCTTCAGCACAAGAAAGGGTTGAGGGCGGATCCTGCGAGAAAAACACGCTACCTAACCTTACTCTCCCTCATATTTTGAATGGTTGCAATGCCGAACAAGTTACTGAGTACAAGACATGTGTAACAATACTCAATATAACCAGCACACAGAGAGAAACTGTTGACTACATCGTCATATACTTCTCTCTCTCCTATGTGCAGGTTATTTATGTAGTGTTCCAGTCACGGTATTGTGCCTTTTAGTTCTTTCCACATATGTAATACTTAGGTAACTTTATTCCCGAAACTTTTCGCCTCCACATCTGTCTTCTTTTGTCAAAAATTTGTGATTATATTTTAGTGTTATAATCGCCTTTCTTTTACACTACTCTAGCGAAATTTTTTGCAATAATTATGTCGAAGTGTAGCACATGTTGTCTCCTTGTTACCTTCGTCAGCTTTTTAAGAACTGCCAAAGTTAGCCTCATACATTTAGTTATGCAAAATATATTTTCTTTTCATTCCAATAAAAGCATGTAAGATACAATGTCTTATCTTTCCTCACAGATTAAATAAATCACGGTATCCGCTTTACAATTAAGGAACTTGAGGTCCTTAGCTTCAAACTATAGACCAATAAGCCTAACCTCCATAGTGGGAAAATTTATGGAATCAATAATTGCCGAGGCAGTTCGTAGCCACCTTGAAAAGCATAAATTAATCAACGAATCTCAGCATGGTTTTACAAAGGGGCGTTCCTGCCTTAAGAATTTATTAACTTTTTTCACAAAGGTATTTCAGGAGGTAGATCATGGTAATGAATATGATATTGTGTATATGGACTTCAGTAAGGCTTTTGACAGGGTCCCACATCAGAGACTATTGAGGAAAATTAAGGCACATGGAATAGGAGGAGAAATTTTTTCCTGGATAGAGGCATGGTTGACAAATAGGCAGCAGAGAGTTTGCATAAATGGGGAGAAATCAGTGGGGAAGCGTCACGAGCGGTGTTCCACAGGGGTCAGTGTTGGGCCCCCTGCTGTTCACAATATACATAAACGACATAGATGAGGGCATAAAGAGCGACATCAGCAAGTTTGCCGATGACACCAAAATAGGCCGTCGAATTCATTCTGACGAGGACATTAGAGCACTCCAGGAAGATTTGAGTAGACTGATGCAGTGGTCGGAGAGGTGGCAGATGCAGTTTAATATAGACAAATGCAAAGTTCTAAATGTTGGACAGGACAATAGCCATGCCACATATAAACTAAATAATGTAGATCTTAATATTACGGATTGCGAAAAAGATTTAGGAGTTCTGGTTAGCAGTAATCTGAAACCAAGACAACAGTGCATAAGTGTTCGCAATAAAGCTAATAGAATCCTTGGCTTTATATCAAGAAGCATAAATAATAGGAGTCCTCAGGTTGTTCTTCAACTCTATACATCCTTGGTTAGGCCTCATTTAGATTATGCTGCACAGTTTTGGTCACCATATTACAGAATGGATATAAATGCTCTGGAAAATGTACAAAGGAGGATGACAAAGTTGATCCCATGTATCAGAAACCTTCCCTATGAGGATAGACTAAGGGCCCTGAATCTTCACTCTCTAGAAAGACGCAGAATTAGGAGAGGAGAGAGAGAGATTTTGGGAGATGTTAAGTGAATGTATAGGAGCCCTTGAACCAAGTGAGAGAGTAATTGTGGTAGGGGACTTGAATGCTAAAGTAGGAGAAACTTTTAGAGAGGGTGTGGTAGGTAAGTTTGGGGTGCCAGGTGTAAATGATAATGGGAGCCCTTTGATTGAACTTTGTATAGAAAGGGGTTTAGTTATAGGTAATACATATTTTAAGAAAAAGAGGATAAATAAGTATACACGATATGATGTAGGGCGAAATGACAGTAGTTTGTTGGATTATGTATTGGTAGATAAAAGACTGTTGAGTAGACTTCAGGATGTACATGTTTATAGAGGGGCCACAGATATATCAGATCACTTTCTAGTTGTAGCTACACTGAGAGTAAAAGGTAGATGGGATACAAGGAGAATAGAAGCATCAGGGAAGAGAGAGGTGAAGGTTTATAAACTAAAAGAGGAGGCAGTTAGGGTAAGATATAAACAGCTATTGGAGGATAGATGGGCTAATGAGAGCATAGGCAATGGGGTCGAAGAGGTATGGGGTAGGTTTAAAAATGTAGTGTTAGAGTGTTCAGCAGAAGTTTGTGGTTACAGGAAAGTGGGTGCAGGAGGGAAGAGGAGCGATTGGTGGAATGATGATGTAAAGAGAGTAGTAAGGGAGAAAAAGTTAGCATATGAGAAGTTTTTACAAAGTAGAAGTGATGCAAGGAGGGAAGAGTATATGGAGAAAAAGAGAGAGGTTAAGAGAGTGGTGAAGCAATGTAAAAAGAGAGCAAATGAGAGAGTGGGTGAGATGTTATCAACAAATTTTGTTGAAAATAAGAAAAAGTTTTGGAGTGAGATTAACAAGTTAAGAAAGCCTAGAGAACAAATTGATTTGTCAGTTAAAAATAGGAGAGGAGAGTTATTAAATGGAGAGTTAGAGGTATTGGGAAGATGGAAGGAATATTTTGAGGAATTGTTAAATGTTGATGAAGATAGGGAAGCTGTGATTTCGTGTATAGGGCAAGGAGGAATAACATCTTGTAGGAGTGAGGAAGAGCCAGTTGTGAGTGTGGGGGAAGTTCGTGAGGCAGTAGGTAAAATGAAAGGGGGTAAGGCAGCCGGGATTGATGGGATAAAGATAGAAATGTTAAAAGCAGGTGGGGATATAGTTTTGGAGTGGTTGGTGCAATTATTTAATAAATGTATGGAAGAGGGTAAGGTACCTAGGGATTGGCAGAGAGCATGCATAGTTCCTTTGTATAAAGGCAAAGGGGATAAAAGAGAGTGCAAAAATTATAGGGGATAAGTCTGTTGAGTGTACCTGGTAAAGTGTATGGTAGAGTTATAATTGAAAGAATTAAGAGTAAGACGGAGAATAGGATAGCAGATGAACAAGGAGGCTTTAGGAAAGGTAGGGGGTGTGTGGACCAGGTGTTTACAGTGAAACATATAAGTGAACAGTATTTAGATAAGGCTAAAGAGGTCTTTGTGGCATTTATGGATTTGGAAAAGGCGTATGACAGGGTGGATAGGGGGGCAATGTGGCAGATGTTGCAAGTGTATGGTGTAGGAGGTAGGTTACTGAAAGCAGTGAAGAGTTTTTTACGAGGATAGTGAGGCTCAAGTTAGAGTATGTAGGAAAGAGGGGAAATTTTTTTCCCAGTAAAAGTAGGCCTTAGACAAGGATGTGTGATGTCACCGTGGTTGTTTAATATATTTATAGATGGGGTTGTAAGAGAAGTAAATGCGAGGGTCTTGGCAAGAGGCGTGGAGTTAAAAGATAAAGAATCACACACAAAGTGGGAGTTGTCACAGCTGCTCTTTGCTGATGACACTGTGCTCTTGGGAGATTCTGAAGAGAAGTTGCAGAGATTGGTGGATGAATTTGGTAGGGTGTGCAAAAGAAGAAAATTAAAGGTGAATACAGGAAAGAGTAAGGTTATGAGGATAACAAAAAGATTAGGTGATGAAAGATTGAATATCAGATTGGAGGGAGAGAGTATGGAGGAGGTGAACGTATTCAGATATTTGGGAGTGGACGTGTCAGCGGAGGGGTCTAAAAAATGAGGTGAAATAGAATTGATGAGGGAAAAAGAGGAGTGGTGATTAGAGTCTGTGGGAGACAAAGAACTTTGCCCTTGGGAAAAGGCAAAGGGGGGAATTATGAGAGTATATTTTTACCAACGCTCTTAATGGGGTGAAGCGGGGGTGAGAATGTTGCAGCGAGGGAAGGCTGGAGGCAGTGGAGATTATGTCTGAGGGAAATTGTGGTTTTAAATATAATGCAGAAAATTTGTATTTTTAAGTTAGGGGGGTGGGGGTTTACCAAAAACTGTTGTCCAGGGGGCTGGGGAAGGGTTGTTGAGGGGTTCGGAATGAAGAGAATGGAGCGAAAAAAATGACTTCAAGATGTTCGTTTGTAGTGGAAGGAAGGCGGGTGGGGGTGGCCTAGGAAGGGTTGGGGGAGGGGGTAAAGGGGGTTTTTGTGTGCGAGGGTTTGGATTCCCAGGCTGCGTGAGCGTGTTTGTAGGAGGAATGGAGAAAAAGGGTTTTTTAAAATATTGACTGCTGTTGGAGTGTGAGCAAAGTAACATTTTAAAGGGGATTCGGGGAAACCGGCGGGCCGGATTGGTTCTGGAGAGGGGGAAATACAGTGCCTGCACCTTTAAGGGGGGTGTTAAGTTGCAGTTTAAAAAATGTAGTAAGCCCCTTTGGAAGACGTGAGGGGGGAATGAGGTGAAAAATTTTTTTTTTTTCGGCCCCCTCCTTGGTGGGAATCGGGCCCGGGGGATAAAAAAAAAAAAAAAAAAAAAATGATTGAGGTGTAAAAAAGGAAACAGGGAAAAAAATAAAGGGGAGTAAAAAGGTGTTGAAAATATCTAGCCTAGACAGGATCGCAGCAATGGTTTTAAGTTAGAAAAATTCAGATTCAGGAAGGATATAGGAAGTACTGGTTTGGTAATAGAGTTGTGGATGAGTGGAACAAACTCCCAAGTACCGTTATAGAGGCCAGAACGTTGTGTAGCTTTAAAAATAGGTTGGATAAATACATGAGTAGATGTGGGTGGGTGTGAGTTAGACCTGATAGCTTGTGCTAACAGGTCGGTTGCCGTGTTCCTCCCTTAAGTCAAGGTGACCTGACCTGACTAGGTTGGGTGCATTGGCTTAAGCCGGTAGGAGACTTGGACCTGCCTCGCATGGGCCAGTAGGCCTGCTGCAGTGTTCCTTCGTTCTTATGTTCTTATGTTCTTAACACCCAGGGCCAGACTATCGTCCTTACACCACATCACTGCAATTCCCCATTTAGGATATTATCCTTATAACGGCGTTTCAGTTGTGAGTTGACAATGGTTCAGAACGAGCCGAAACGTCGTCAACTGGTTCCTCTGCTAAGTGAGGATTTCTGGTGAATTTTCCCAGTGAGTTTTTGTTCTTCACTGCCCTTGCAAACTGCAAATTTAGAATTGTTTGGTAGAGACATATGTGCAGTTCTTAGGACATGTCAGTATTGATGTACTTGGTACTTGTACCGATTCCACAACAGTTCTGACTCAGCCAAAAATCATTCAGTGTAAGTAATAGCTACTGCTCAACTCATTCATTCAGAATTCCTAACACGCTCTGATTTTCATTCGCTGTTTAGCCCTTGTAGCTTAGCGCTTCTTTTTGATTATAATAATAATAATCTGATTCTCATTTCTGCACAAACAAATATACGAAAGCTACTACAAAAATTATTATAGCAACTGATAATGCAAGGTTACCTGATACCTAGAAACTGCTTAACTTCACATGATGAATGTTACGACTGAATAAGACGCACTTGCAACACCAGCACAACAGGTTTCTTCAGTCCGTCACCCTTGC